TTGAGAAACGATGTACAAATGCGCTTTACACAATTGATGTGTGTATGGATTGGGATAACAGTTGTATGAGCCCCTAATAAAATGTTAAAAAAAATAAATAATTCATTTGTACTATACATTTATGATATTTGCGTTTTGTGTAAGTATGTAATCCTTTTTTATTTTTTAAGAAGAAGCTATTTCAAGGAAAGACTTTAAAACAGGATTTTAAAGTATTTTTTCCTTCTATTTAACTTTTTCAAATCTTATGATGCATAAGGCTAACAATTCTTGAAAACAAAATCTCTGATACATGTCACTTGGGTGACATTCCTGTCTGAAGAAATCCACTCCATGCGATGAAAAGACTTGTTGCCTTGCAGTCAGACCTGATAGGAAAAATAGTCCGTGTGAAGCTGGCACTGTGCCTTTTTGACTGATGGTAAGATTGGATGGGGGCAGGAGGACAGTTTAGTAGAAGACACATGGTTGGGGCTGATGAAAGTCTTCAGAATTAAGTAAGCAGAAAGGTGATCTTTCAGCTCTCAAGTTCAGGTAAGAGCAATACTGACTTTACATTGAACCACCACTAGGGGATCTGAAGTGAGTTGAGAGTTGAATTTGGGGTGAAGATCTTGCTGCTACCCAAGTTCATTGTTTCTTCATGTAGCTCCGTGTATTGTCTTGTGTGTCGGTCCTGCCTCGGGATTCAGCGCTGACCTTCAGAAGGGTAGAGACTTCCTTCTAATGGCTGGCCTCTTTGTTTTCAGGCTTTCATAAGACGCTGTTTGGCATACCGGAAGGAGGATCGATTTGATGTGCACCAACTGGCAAACGACCCATACCTTCTCCCCCACATGAGAAGATCGAATTCTTCAGGAAACTTACACATGACTGGGCTCACAGCATCCCCCACACCCCCTTCTTCAAGCGTAATTTCTTACTGACTTTACTCCAAGAGTGGCATGATACTTTTGAACCGTTTCCAGATGCTCTCTTGAGTTTGAAAACATTGGAGTGGTTTTTGGTTGTTGTTGTTGTTCCTTTGTTTGCTTTTTCCTTTTTTATGTAGGACATGGTTGGAAACTCTTGGTGAACTCTAAAGTTCATCATAGCCTCGTTTGTATGCGAGTGGATCATGGACAGTGACTCTGTGTGCGCCTCGTGCTATATCGTGAGCGGGAGGGTGGCTGCCTGCTGCACAGACACAGGAGGCCCGAGTTCAGACAGGAAACCAGTGGTGTTGGTCTGTGTGAGGGAGCACTGTGCGTCGCGGTGATAATACCTAAGTACGCTTGGTGGTTACTGGAGAGTTCTAATGCGAAGGGTAGTTTTTCATTATTTCAAAACACATGGGGAAAATGAGACCTGTTTCTAACACATAAAACTACAGTGCCTGGATACTTCCTTCAGCATGCAGCAGCTGCTGAAACCAAAGCAAGAACTGAAAGAAAGACAGCGACCTTTGTTTTGTAGGAATGGAATGTGAACATGAGAACCTTTGGACAGAGTTGACATTTGTCATTTGCCTATTCTGGCTTTTACCAAGTTGTACCTCGAAATTACGTGTCCGTTTGTTCCATTGGTTTTATTAAAGGGAAAGCTGGGGACCTTAGAAAATGAGCTGCTTATTTAGAAACCAGTTGAATTCACTGGACTGCAATGTTTTCAGTGTTTTCAACACATTCGGGTTCTTAACAGGTGTTTTTCTTTTGTTACCAGGCCATGTTCATTAAAAAAAAAGAAGTGGTAGTATATAACCAAATGCAGACCAGTTCTATGCAGGCTAATGAGAAATCCCCTTCCAGCTCGATTGTAAATTGTTGTACAGATGTCATAATTGAATTACTAAGTTTCAGCAGCTTATTCTTGTACAAATGTTTAAAAAATATGGCTTTTCTAATTGGATATTGTATTTTTTTTAAGTCTTCTTGAAGGCGCTTTAATTGCTGCTAAATGTTGCTTCTTTGCTAAAAAACAAAAAACAACAAAAAAAAAACTAATGACCTCCTCAAAGGTGCAAGTTGACTGTATATCCTACAGAAAGATTAAAAGCAGACATTCATTCACAATCAAGGCATGTAAAAATGATCCATGTTGGGCATCTACAGTTCTTCAAATCAGTTTCTGGGTTCTGGGGCTCTAAGCCCATAGATACTCGATTTATAAATTATTCGTGGTTATTCTACATTTCTAAAAGATTCCTATCAGTAAGATGGGGTGTTGGTCCCTTCAACAAGTTCTTGTGGTTTGTACAGATGCGTTAAATTGTGCAGCATTTCTAACTGCCTTGTGTGGTAGAAACCATGACTCCACTCCTGTAGGTTCTTCCTTCTTGTCACATCCGTAATGCTGATGGTGACACATCACTTGTCCATGTTACAGAACAAGGAGGCCATCCTTCCCACAGACTCGCACTATCACTGTACAGCTCAACTCTTCTCCTGTTGCAAGCCATTTTGGTTTTTCATTGTACATAGACACATTGTCTTTTTAAGATGCTGCTGAAATTGTAGAGAATGTAGCCAAAACAGTAATAAACAATGACAGTTAAAACTTAAAGATTGAAAAATTACATTTGAAGGGAGCTTTGGAGATTTAGACTATTAAATAACTTGGCTCCTTTACCTAAGAATCAGCTGAATAAATTCTTTAAGTATACTTCAAGACAAGAATAAAGTGTTTCAAGCTGTTAAAGTCAACATAATAACCATTATCAAGGCTAATCCTGGGTAAGTAACCCATAGCGCTATCAGGAATGGCTTAAGGGCTATACCTGTTGCTCAGTAGATTAAGATAGAAATCCTATAAAAAATATTGACATGGTAATGGAATGTTAGCATTGATTGAGTATATTAAATAACTGCCCACAAATTTTTAAAAATTTATTGTCTTGAGTTTTCATCTCTCCGAATCATAGTTCTATGTTCATATAGTAATTGTTATTTAAAGTAATAAACTAAAAGAAAATGTCTAATTTTATTTAAAATGTTGGTGGGCTGAGTGTTAAATAGACGCAAATCTAACATGGTGAAAAAGCAGCGCAGACCTAGATCTCTGTTTTACATTATTTACAAGTAAATGGATGTGGCTGGCTGGCCAGCATCAGCACAAGGACAGGAACACAAGCCACACAGCGAAAGGCCTCCCTGCTCCAGGTCTGGGAATCAAAGAGGTAGGATAGTAGTTAGCACAGGAGACCAGGTCCTCTCCGAGGTTGATCTGGACCAGTGGTATCTTTCCACGCTGGATAATATACCAGTAACCCAATAGGAGCAAAATGGCTGCCGGGACCCAGTGGACTCATTTACTGTTACCATCACAGGGAAAATGGACTCTCTTCCTTTGGCTCTAATCCCGTTGGGGCCCTCATGTGTTTTCTAGACTTCTGATGTCAACCCTCAGCACTGACGCAAGTGAAGACAGCGTATAATCTCAAAATCTTGATTTAGGTGTATGTTGAGAGGAAATAGACGTTAGTACAGACACTCTCCTAATGTGTAAGCCAGGAAGGGATAGGTATTTGCTTGTTTTCCAAAAATAAAGACTCAAATCTGTTCTTTTTTTGTTTACCCACCACTGTCCCCTCCTCCTAAAAGAACCCTTTCCATTTAAATGTTACCTAAAATGTGAACAAAATAAATTTCTTCTACAAATACCTCATTACATGAAGCCAAAACGGTGAGGTGTTCCAGTGAAACACTTAAAGAGCATAGTGTGTTTTGTTTTGCTGTCTCATCTTGACTCATTAAAGCAGTACTGTTGGGTACATGATGTCATTAGCCCTGGTTCAGTGCTGATGCCCACCGACGGCCCGCTACATTGTTGGTCTGTTCTTACTTGCTGTTGGTGTGAATGTCGGTAGCCTTGTTGACACCTTTCAGGTCACACTATCACGTCTTTCTCTAATCCCCGTTTAAATGATCACATGCTGTCTGATCCTTTCCCCCTGAATGCAGCTAGCTCAGTGTTCTGAAGACACAACAGTCTAATTCTGAAAGTACCTTTAAGTTTAGCAGCTATTTTTTAAATTCGAATTTTAGTCCCTGGGTTTTGGGAATGCTGCATCCATTTTAGAATGCCAATGACTTGTCTGTCAATTCAAATTAGCTGTATTTCCTTAGAATGTGCTGATCTCCATAGACCCCCTCTCTGCTCCTCCCTCTTCTCTTTAGACACCCCCTAGAATTGAAAAATGTTGAATGAATGTGTGTAAACCAGCTTCAGAATTTGTTGACAACCACCAGAGCAGGTGGCTAATTTCTAGTTGGGATCAAAATGCACAACTTCCACCTGGGAGTGGTCTCACTTGTTAGTATGAACGAGGCAGATCCTGCGGAAGACAGCCCTAAGACGGTGGTGAAGAGCTCGGGTTTGGGGACTGCACCCCTGTGTACCAGCCTCCTTGTCTGCAGGTGGAGTAACCGTGCCGAGGTTTCGAGGAATAAGTGCACTCAGGACCCTGCCCAGCATGTGGTAAATGCCACGTTAATACAAGCTGCTGTGACCCTTATACACTCAAAGTGATCACGTTTGCCCTATTTGCAAAATGCTACCTGCTTTGCTGCGGCAATGGATACTTTTAAAGAAATAGTTGGTTTACAATTTGTCCTCAAATTTCAACCAATGGGGTGATAAGGTTACCTGGAACTAACGGGTGGAAGAATGCTGCAACAGCAGTTTAAGGGAGAAACAAGCAAATAGTCACACCATGTAAATGCTGCCAAAGGAGCATGCCCTGGTCTTACTGTTTAATCAGAGGCGATTCTGCCACACATGGCAGCTTCTTTGCTATTAGCGCCCGTTTGAAGTGGGGTGAATGTCGGCATCCCAGCCTTACAGAGGAAGCATGCAGATCTTGAGGAGATTGGCGTTGGTGAACTTACATAAGCTGTAATTGGCAGGCTCAAAACTAAGGCACAGCTTTGGGCCTCCAAATGAGGGCCTCCTAACCATGTCAACCTTTTGGCCTCAACTTACAAATGTGGTTCGCTGTGTGCAGTTTTTCATGTAAAGAGTCTCAGAAATGCCCCCGGACAATTTTACAGTGCCATGCTCTATTATAGGGTCACTATGAGCGGATAAAGACTTGTCGGCAATGAAGTTTGGGGGGATGCATAGTTGCAGGGGCTGTGTGACCCCAGCAGTTAACCTACAGGTTAGCTGAGGGTTCAAACCCACCTGCTGTTTATGGGAGGAAGATTTGCTTCTGTAAAGTTTTACAGTCTTGTAAACCTTGTGAGGCAGTTCTAAGCTGTCCTGTGAGAATTGGCCATGAGTTGTGTGTGGATTGGTTTTGTTTTTTTTTAATGTGTGTATCTGCTTAGTCTGAGGCCCACCTGTCAACTGCATACCTGTCTCCTTCCAGTACACACAGTGTTCCCCAGTGCACACAGCTGCTCCGGAAGTTTCCACATCCATGCAGATGACTTGTGGATTGCAGACCCAAGTACACGGCTCCCACAGCTCCACCCTTTCCACTTTGGGGATAAGAGTTGGATTTCAATGAATTTTTGCTTAAGTTGCCATAAAGGTAAAATGTAACAAAATTCCTAATGTTTCATTTAGACAATGAGGTTAAACTTTACCAGTGTGTACTGCTGTCCCAGAGGTATAAATTTGTATATCCATATGCAAGGGGCTACCTAAAAAACAGGAATTGTGCTGGACAGAGCACAGCTTTCATAGTGCACATTTTTCATGAGAGGCGAGCATCAGGCAACTGAGTGAGTGCACCCAGAGGCGTCACCTGGGAAGGTTCTCTCTGGTTACGGTGAATTTTTTCATAAAAGTTTTCACTAGAACCTACTTTTTTTGTGATGACCGATTTAAGAGAATAGCGTGTGGCCATGAAATTGTGTTTCCTCCTTGGAAAAAATGCCACAGAATCTTGTGATGTAGAAGATAGCTTACTAGGACAGTGTTATGGGAAAAATTCAAGTGTACAGTAGTTTTCCTCATTTCAAAAAACATGAAATGTTGATTGATTACAAACCTCGTTCTAGACATCTGATTTCCAGAAGGGACAAAAATTTTGACTCGTGGTGAATATGGAGTTTGTTCCACCAGGTCAGACTTAATCAAGCTTTCTATTTAGAGGTTCTGAAAAGATTGTGTAACAGTGTGCGACATAAAAGGCCTGATGTGTGGCAGACCGGGGACTAGTTTTGCCACCACGACAGTGCACCTGCTCAGTCAGCCATCTCAGTGCGCCAGTTTTGGGCATGTCTCTCTTGCCCCACGCACCAGACTCACCTGACCTCACCTCTGTGAGACTTCTTTTTGTTTCCGTGAATGAAGAGGAACATGAAAGGACGGCGATTTGACGAAGTAGAGGTGGGAAAAAAAGGAGGTGCTGTCAGCCATCCAAAAAGATGAGTTTGAAATGTTTCCAAGAATTGCAGATTTGACAAATGTATTGTGTGTAATAGAGAGAGTACTTTGAAGGTGGTAAAGTGGTTTTGTAAAAAAATTTAAATACATAGCTCTGAGAAAAATTCTGGTTGGGGTGGGGGGTACCTCATATGTATCTAAATGTGCACACATACGCATAGTTAGAAACCCTTTAACGAAAATGAACCAGGATGGATGGCCAGACCGGCATTACTCCACATACAGAGTTATGTAGTAAGCTTGTTGAAAGAAAGCCAGGAACTTAAAGCAACTTAGGTATACTTTATGTGTGTGTAAGTACCGCTTCCCTGAAAATAAGACAGTGCCTTATATTAATTTTTGCTCCCAAAGATGCGCTAGGTGTTATTTTCAGGGGAATACCTTATTTTTCCATGAAAAATACGGTACACATTGTTGAACAACAAAAAAGGAAATTAATTACCTGTATACCGTATGGTAGTAGTTGTCATCACAAATCAGCATAACTAGACAAACTGAATCCTACAGTATCAAGAATTTCTTACTACCATTATTTCCATGTACAACAACCTATGGCACATTTACTCGTACTTCCTGTCTGCTCCAGCTGCACAGCCGCCAACAGTGAGCTGCACGGTGGCGCCCACCGCTACAGTCCAGAGTTAACGTTAGCTTGGGGGGGCCTTATTTTGGGGGAGGCCTTATTTTCAGGAGTTGCCTTATATTTCAGTGAGGCAAAACTGCAAGTAGGTCTTATTTTCGGGGAAACATGGTATGTTTCACTAAAAGATTTTTTTTGCAGGGGCGATGAATTTGAACTTAAAAATCAAAGATTTTTATATCTTGATTTTTTTTTTTAATGACAAAATAAGGAAAGTATTCCTCTTGAATAGTAAATTGCTTGATTTGTAAGGAAGACTAAGGAAACAATTTCTGGTAACGGGTATAGGGGATGTTCGTTCTGCTAATAACCCTGAAAATTGCTTAAGCCAAGTCAGGTTTCAGCTTCCACAGGGGACTGTCATGTATAAATTTGAGTCTTCACATCTCTTGGAGAAACTATATTCAGAGACAAAATCTGGAAACTATATAAAGAGTGGCTCTTGGAAATTTTCTCAATTTGACATTACTTAGAAGGAATGGCGTTCCTGCACTAAATTGGCGGCCTGGCAACGAAAAGGGAAGTGGCAACATGGCTCTGTGTTCATTGTGACAGGGACCCTGCAGAGAGCACTGTGCCATCTCGTGCAATAGCCAACAGCCTTGGCACCAGGGATATTTTTTTCACCCAAGATTTGGATGAACCCTTAAAGGAAACATTGGCAGTCCCAGGATTTGCCATGACCACGCAGTTAAAATCTTACATCGAATCCTGTCACTGCAGGAGTAAATTCATGGGTGAAAAATACGGCTTTACGTTGTACTGATATGGAAAGTGAGACTGCATCAAACGCATTGATTTTAGTAAATACTGTTAATAATTGAAGAGTAAAATAGGTTCTAAGTGGTGTCTGGTAATTTCTTCTGATAGTCCAGATTAAAAAATCACACAGGGGTCCGTGGGGGGGGTTACCCGTCTTTGGTTTTTTTCCCACACCTTAATGTATAAAATGCTTGTTTATCCTCTCTCCCCCTCCCCCCCCCATCCAAGGATGAAATGGTGTAACCAGATAAGAGAAGTTATGGGAACAAATGAACCATCCCAAACAAGTTTTTTTAAATCCTGCAAAAACCAAAGTGGGCCGTAGCTCTAGGGAGCTCCCCAAGGCAGCTCTCCTCCATGGGTTGACGCTGGCACCATAGCCCTGGTGGAACCCTGCTTCTTGCAAGACCAGAAGCGATGTATTTGGGTGACTGTCACATAAGTAACGTGCTCACACTTTGGGAAGCAGTCTCAACCCAAAACACAGGGTGGGGTCTCCGGTGCATAGTGTTTGCCTGGTTTTGAAGCTACATGGGGCAAAACACTAAAATGTTGACCTAGCAATCTAGGCTGGAAGAACCCAGACCCTTTGGGGAGGGAGGTGGTAACTGGCTTGCTAGGCTCTCCTTGGAAGCTGCTGGAGGTTGTGCCTTAAGAAATTCAAAACACCTAAGCCTGGCCCAGTTTGGCACCATGCTCTCCACTTGAGATTTCACTCTACTGGATAGACAGGAAGGGAAATACTTAGTACTTTTCTAAGAAAAAGATGCTTAGTGAATCCAGAATGTAAAATTCCATTATCTATTTGAGATCTTCTCTAACAGCTCAGGAGGAGGAGGAGGCAGCTTTCTGTTCCCTTAAAAAGTGCATGTTGTATTGGGGATTTGGAAGACTTAACCATTGGGGA